AGGACTATATCCCATTGTGTTTCTGAAGAAACACAAATTAAACAATTCAATATTGATTGTAATTTTAAATGAAGATAATTTTTTGCTATATTAATATTCAAGAAAAATATTAATTTATCGTTCTTGAAGAGTAGAGATTATAATTTTCAATATTTCAAAAGAATACTTATGTATTGCTCTAGAAAAGCAAAAATAATACATATTAGTATAATTTAAATATATCTTATATTAAATCAGATGTTCAATTTGATTTTATTATTTGACATGATCAATTGGACATCACAAGATCAACAATGATGCGAAATTAAAGATTCAAATGGATATTCAATAAAGAACTAGAAGATTCTCCAATCCAACGAATTTCCAAATGTTATTTGTTATCTTTATTAAAAATTGTTCATTAAACATTACTAACTATAATAGAGACTGAATTCCCTATATTTCTGAAAATTAATTAGGATGATAATGTATCATGTCACCCCCATGTTGACCATCTAAATATTATTTGTATCTAATAGATTTGATACAAATACTAGATGATTGCATAGTGTTTGCAATTTGAAGTTTGCGAAATTACTACTCAAATTATGAGCATATTTTCAGGTTATATAATCAAGACGGTACGTCTTGTTAATGCTCGTGAGCCTAGATTTTAACATTTTAATAAGTGTTAGTTGGAATGTCGATAAATAGTTTAATAATATTTTATGTTAAAAGTCTCCAATTAATTTAATTGAGAACAAAGTACTTCCCATTTTTGTTTAAGGAATGTTATTATGCATCATGTCAATAGATGTTACAATGGCTTATGGTCAAATCTTAATTTTCCATCTACTTATTTTGATAGTGTAGTATATGTAAAATTGATCCATCAAAAATGCACTGAGATGAAAACTAAAGAATACTGAGAAGAAATGTGTAGTTTGAACCCTTGTCTCAAATGGGTAATATTTAATAAAGCAACTTATTGATTGTAAATTTGAGTGGACAATTCTCTTAGCATCAGGGGAAATTAAGAAACTAAAAATAATGTACAAATGTATTATTATCTAAATCGTCACAAAAGACAATTCGAACCAAAAGTTCAAAAAATAATTCATTTAGATACATTTACCAATAAAAGAGATCAACAATATCTTACACACTAGCTTTAAATACTTCAATTCAAACTAAAGTCCTAGAGGACGATTAATTAATATTATATTTGATAGCACATTTAAAGCGTAATGATATTCGATTCTAATATAAAAATTTCCAAATGAAAATGGTGCAATTAGCAAATATGGTCAAATTAAGGAGGCATATACTTTTGATGAATATTTACACATATCAAATTATAAGACCTTAGAAGAGATTTATGTACCTGATATGCTGAAAATTGAAATATCTCAATAAATTTTGTCATTATTGGAAAAGAATACTTTTGCACATGATATATTGCATCATATTATGAATAACGAGAAATCGAAATAAAATCGTTGAAACATATCGATTGAAATAATGATTGACCAAATAAAATGACGCCCTTATATTAAAATTGAATTTATTAGAGAAATCTGAAGTTTTTGGATGCGATCCTAGTAAAATTAAACTTACTAGATAAATTTGAAGTTTCTAGATCTACAGTTTGAATACTTAAAAGTGTATATTTATGTGAAATGAAAATGGAAAAAGCAAAGTTGTAATATGAAATGTACGACTTTTTACACGACGAATTCCGCGAATACTTGTATAAATAGATAAGTCATCATGTGGTAAATGTAATTACACTTTTTATTTCATTAGCGTGACCATGCATGAAATTTGATATGCACTTTTTTATATTTCATTAGTGTGACCATCATGTGATAAATGTGATTTGTCTATAATTTATCTTATATGATTTTGATACTATCCTGGAAAGATTTAATATAACAGAAGTAATATTTTTCCCTTGACCAATGTTTTAGTAAGGGTGGTTATATTCATACCAATTTTTTTTAGGTCAAATTAATTAATTATTAAACTTATATCCTCAATTTTTTTATTTATCACATTCTTTTTTTTAATATATCATTGATCAGAAAATCTTGTCTTTAGTCACGATTTTCATTTAAAAAAAAAATTGTTAACATGATTTAAAATGAGGGTCAAATATATAATCGCATTTTGCATTATTTCTTCTTAGCTTATTTAAAAATACAATGGGTAAATGATTCTTTTTACTCCGTCTCAAAGAAAATTTGGGAGAGAAACCATAATCAAAAACAATTTATGTTAAGTTGAGAATAAGAATGCGCGGAAAAAAGTTTGAGACATAAATGTGATAATGTGTAATGTTATGAATCTTTCATTCAATTAAAATATAGTCTATTTATTAAAAATTGTATCGTAAATATATTTAGTTTTTCATAATTGCACCATATTTTAAAGGCGCATAATCTTTACTCATTATTACATTTTTCTCATCACAATTTTATTCTCAAATGTGACAATGAATAAATGTTAATGTCCTTTAATGTAATTAATTTGTGATATATTTATAAAAAGATGTGGTGTGATATAATCACCTTCTAAAATTTACCCTTTAAAAATATTATCATTTGCTAATGACGATTATTTTTTAATTTTGCAGTAACAACTTGGTTAGATGGCATATTTACCAGGAAATACAGGACATGTCAAAATGGCCTTCAACTTCTAACGTCTACATAAAATCGGGACGTAGATGTTAAGTTAGTAACTGGGGTCAATTGAATGACTACCATTGAAAAGTAAATTGAAGTTCAATAATTTGATTTCGACAAGTTAAAGCTAAGTGACCCAAGTTCAAGTACCAAAAGTGAAATTAACCTTATTATCTAATATGAATATTTAATTAAAATAAGAGAATTTCATAAAACTATTCCTTTACTTTAGAAACCTACTATGAAGTTAATTAGGGGTTGTTCTCTTTGTGTTTTAATTTTGTGTTTTGAGTATCCATTTTGAGATGATTGAAAATGTATTCTTTTTGGCATTTTGAAAATATCCAAACGCGTTTTGAAAATTTTGACTTGATTATAACTGAAAACACCCATAACGAATTTCTTTATAAATTTTTAACTTATTTTCAAAAAATTGTTTTTGAAAATAGGAAAGAGAACACGTTTTCACTATTTTGGAAAATCGAAAACGAAAAATGACTTGAAAATGGTAAAAAGAATATGCCCTTAAATTTGGCAATCATTTCCCCCCCTTTCCCTAGTAGTTAGTAATTTTTTTAATCTTGTATCCTCGTTTATAATTGTGGTATTACTCTCATATTTACTTTCGATCAATTCTCTTCTCTTTCCATCCTAACGTGTAATTCTGGAGGTAAGACGTGTCATTTATACGCTTTTCGTTTATAAATCTACGTACATGGCCTAGAAAGGCCTAAATTATGATTAAAAAGGAAAAAAAGGGAAGTTAAAGCTAACTTGAAAGATGAGAAATTTCCTTGTATTGTGATGACACACATGGGAATTGCCACAAGAAGCATACAATTAGGAAGGGTAGTTTAAGGCTTGATGAAGAATGAACAAGTCACACAAGCCAAGCTTTGCAAGTTGTAGAGTTGAGTAGAAGCACCTAATTTTGGCTGGGAGTTGGCATGAAGTCAGTATCATTGAAAGTAGGACTTCAATAGCCACTTTAACTTTTGCTTTAATTTATTTGCATGTCACAACTAATTCCTCGAGTTGTTCTATTCATATCATTAACACTAGTAAACATCATGAACACACACTTGTGACTTTTATTTTGCATTTGATTTATACATATCTATGTACATTTAATATTGTTCACTCTATCTTTCTGAAAAATTCAAAAAATACGCTTGAGCTTACACGCTACATGATCTATTTGGTCATTTGTAGGCCACTTGTATTTGGTTTTTCGTGTTCTTGGGATGAGGTCAATTGTGGTCTAGATTGATTTGTCTAAGATCACGTTTGAGTTATTTTTATTTTTGTTAAACCACCTCCACCTTGGATTTGATTTTGGCTTGTAACGAGTCCCGAAGGACACGTGCTAATTATTTGGTGGAAAAGAGCATTTCACTTGCATCAAATTGGAAAAAGATAAAGACAATCTTTATTTTAATTTATGATTGAGAAGGTTTGTATAGTGACCGTATGTTTGATACGTACTGTTAGATAAGATCGAATAAAATATCGTGAATAAAATTATAACTTCTTTTTTTCTTTTTAACACTGATACAACATGTTTATTGCATCAAATCGGACCGAATAAAAATTATTAATACGGGGATAATGTATAAAAACGAGTACGTGACAAGTGATCCTATTACTCTTTAGAGGAATAGTTTATGAAAAAGAGTTTATGGGTTTGCTTGAAAGCCAATCGAATCTTGTTGGTTTCCCTCACTTCCTTCTAGTAGTATACTTTTCTTTAAGTTTAAGAAGAGATGAAGTGAGTAGGGTGGAGCATACTTTTTAACGTGCAATTCCTTCCTTTAATTCTTGTGTTTATTCTTTGAAGTCGAAGGACTTAATTAATTAAGTAAACGTTATACCTTTTTTTTTTGGTCACTCTCTTTGTAATCCTCGCCATTGCACAGTAATTAATTTCTGCAGTTAAATTAATATAGAATTCGGTTTCATTTTGAGTCTCAATTAATTCTAAACACTCCGTTCAATATGTACATAAATGTCTCTTCAAAAGTATTATTCGCTATACGGTCGACGTCAACGGAAGTGTAACACTTAGTGAAAAAACACTTTTTTCAAGTTGGAAACGCAAGGAATATTGGTGGCCACAGGCTAATTCATGGTAACTGTCGACTAAGGTAGATTTGGACTCCAATACTTTATTGTAATTGATTATATATGCACACACACACGCATATATATAATCCATTCACAGTTTCTCTCTATCTCACTCTACACTTTCTTACACTACTACTTAGTGTCCTTTCCAAGTTTTGTTCTAATATATATTGAAAGTTGTAACCTCTTATTGGGTATATGGAAATGGAGATGTCAGAAGAGTTTACAGAGTATAAGGATCAAATGACCCTTAAAAGGAAGCGTACGAAGCTGCCAAGGCCATCACACTCTAGCTCATCGAGCGGTGGCGGTGGAGATGGTGGCGGTCGAGGAGGCGGAAACGAGTTCCGTTCATTGGTTTCATCTCCCACAACCACAGCAACATCTAGTGGAATATCTACAAGTACCGAGGAAGATGAAAACATGGCCAATTGTCTAATTCTTTTAGCACAAAGTGGTGACAAGGTGGAGAAATTTAGTAGCCAAAATTTCGCAGAAATGGCCAATATAACACAGGGAAAGGTTGGCATCTATGTTTATGAGTGCAAAACTTGCGATAGAACTTTTCCATCATTTCAAGCTTTAGGTGGGCACAGAGCAAGTCACAAGAAGCCTAAGTCTACAACAGATGATCAAAGGAAATCGACGCCGTTCGATCACGTCCAAGAAGAAAAGAAATTGATCATCACTAGGCTTAGTCCACCACCTTCAATTCAATCATCCAACAGATTTGATATTAAGCCTAAAATCCATGAGTGTTCAATATGTGGCTCAGAGTTTTCTTCAGGACAAGCATTGGGAGGTCACATGAGAAGGCATAGGACAGCACCAAATACTCCTAGTCCTAGAGTTGGCACAAATGATTCTGAGAAACCTAGAAAAATTCTTGCTTTGGATCTTAACCTCCCGGCGCCACCTGAGGACGATCGCCGACCGGACGAAGCATTTCTTCTCTTCTCCTCCCCGGCCTTAGTCGATTGCCACTACTAGAAAACAAGAGCTGAAAAAAATTGTTCACCTTTTCTTTTTAATCATAATTATCAGTTGTTATAACTCATAATTCATTAATATTGTTGTTATTAATTCTTTCTTTAAAGTCTTTCTTCTTTATTTTTTTATGTTACTTTTAAGTTGAAAACTTTGAGTTAGTAGCAAAATACAGTTCACGGTTGCTTTCATTCACGAAAAGTGAGTGATGAGCCTCATTTTTATTATTATTATTATTATTTTTTTCTCTAATTCTTTTGAGTGGCATGGACAGGGTTAGGCCTAACCAGCACCACAACTGAAGTCGTGGATCAGGTTGTCTTTGTTTTTTTCGTTACAAATAAAGTCAAATAAAAACTTCTTTTTATTGTCTGTTTCATTAAATGACAAAGAATAAATGGATGGGAAAGATAGGCTGGTAACTGCCTATCTCATGTGTGTATCCATCTGTATAGTAATATTTTTGCTATATAATACTTCACTTTTAAGCTTTTTTTTGTTTGTTATGTATGATCACCTCAGACTCAGTTTTAAGTAACTCTCAGCCCACCAATTCACACCTAGATATTCAACTGAATTATTCCTAACATTTCAAGTTTCTTAAATAACACACAACACATATTGTCCACTCATTTTAGTGTAGTGAAACTTTGTAACGCTTCGAATCTATGCCAAAATCGTTAATTCTTACTCACTGTCCGTTTTGTGAGAGTCTACTCATCTTTTCCTTCTTGAATTTCACTCACGTTCCTCAAGATTCGAACCTAAGATACTTGCTTTATGAGTGATGATACTAAACCCGATCTCGACCTTGGCCCAGTTTTGATGGGCTCCAGCCCACAGTTGAGGTCAGCCTTTACTAGGTCGGGTCCATACTGTTTGACCCACTAGGCCCGACCTCATCTCATTATTTGGATAACGACTTTCAGGTTGGGCCTATATTCATTCGCAACCTCGTCCCCTAACTCACGTGTCCTTCCCCTCGTCTCACGTGCCCCTAGAATACTAGTTTAATTCAAATATTGACTCTCCAGTTGCCTTAAGTTTCACCCTAACTTAGTTAACACAATCCTAGCACAACACAAACACCTCCCGTACAGGAATATTAGTCCGTCTAGGACTCAGCCACCAATCTCTTTAAATATGTATCCCTTTCTCATTATTCAGGTACGTTTTTCCAATAATCCTCAAGCATACAATATTCTGTCATTCCTCTTTTTGACTTAAGCATCGGAGGGGCAACGAGGACAAACCTCGCTGCCTTTGTTTCAGGTATTGAAGAAGACCAGATCGCGTGGAGTTCTCTCGTGCAGCTTGAATTCATCCAGGACTTTTTTTTGTTTGTTATGTATGATCACCTCAGACTCAGTTTTAAGTAACTCTCAGCCCACCAATTCACACCTAGATATTCAACTGAATTATTCCTAACATTTCAAGTTTCTTAAATAACACACAACATATATTGTCCACTCATTTTAGTGTAGTGAAACTTTGTAACGCTTCGAATTTATGCCAAAATCGTTAATTCTTACTCACTGTCCGTTTTGTGAGAGTCTACTCATCTTTTCCTTCTTGAATTTCACTCACGTTCCTCAAGATTCGAACCTAAGATACTTGCTTTATGAGTGATGATGCTAAACCCGATCTCGACCTTGGCCCAGTTTTGATGGGCTCCAGTCCACAGTTGAGGTCAGGCTTTATTAGGTCAGGTCCATACTGTTTGACCCACTAGGCCCGACCTCATCCCATTATTTTGGATAATGACTTTCAGGTCGGGCCTATAATCATGCGCAACCTCGTCCCCTAACTCGCGTGTCCTCCTCCTCGTCTCACGTGCCCCTAGATTACTAGTTCAATTCAAACATTGACTCTCCAGTTGCCTTAAGTTTCACCCTAACTCAGTTAATACAATCCTAGCACAACACAAACACCTCCCGTACAGGAATATTAGTCCGTCTAGGACTCAGCCACCAATCTCTTTAAATATGTATCCCCTTCTCATTATTCAGGTACGTTTTTCCAATAATCTTCAAGCATACAATATTCTGTCATTCCTCTTTTTGACTTAAGCATCGGAGGGGCAATGAGGACACACCTCGCCGCCTTTGTTTCATGTATTTGAAGATCGTAGCGTGTGGAGTTCAACTATTACCTTGTCATGCAACCAAGTGAACAAGTATTCGAACACAGATGTTGATACTAAATGATTCAAGTATTTAGATAACTGGTTTATTTTATTTATTTTTTTGGAAGGTGAAAATGAGTTAAAATAAAAACGAAAATAAAGGGGAAAAAAAAAAAAGAAGAAGAAGATAAAGAGCCTATATGTTAGGGAAATTAGGTACAGAATGAACTTACAGCTCCACTAGATTATCATGAAATTAAATGTGATTTAAGGGTCCATTTAAAGTTTTGTCAACTAAACCATTTAAAATTAGTCGACAATTTGTTTAATGTGACACTCTGAGGTGGGCTTAGCTAATAATTGTTGGTGTTTGTTATGTGCACGTTTCAGTGATTATTGTTAAGGCAAGCATGTGGCCACATTGCGTGACATGTCTAAATACATAGAAAGTGGAAGTGATTAAAGGATTCATTTAAAATAAGCCCATGTGTTTGGGGCTACCTTACTTGTATAATTAAAATTTATTTATTTCAAAAGAAGCAAACCCTGGATGAATATTAGGGGGGTGTTTGTTTTTTATTCTCAAATTCTACAGTAAATCAATTCTCATTTTCAACCACACATTTTTCAATAAAATAATATTTTCCATCACATCAATAATTTTTTATTCTTTTTCAACCACACATATCCTATCATATCACTATTCAAAAATCAATTCTTCCCTCAAAAATCCCTACCAAACAAGCACTAGGGACGTTGTATCTCAGTCGTCTGACAAGATAATGTACAGACATCGTTCAACACAACATATCAAACATGTTAGAACAATCATCTTTGTTTGCCATTCGTTGTAAGGGAGTCGAAAATCAACCATGGAAATTGCCAATGGAGAAATAAAATCTAATGTGAACGTGGGCTCCATTTGGGTATTACCAATAACTTGACCATTAAATATTTTGCTCAATTGGCAATTCATACTTCAATGGTCACTACCAAGTGCTATCATCAAAACAATGCGTGAACAACTCAGCGAAGAGGACTGCTGTACAACATTACTATGAGCATGTTTGTCTAAATTTAAAATCAAATTAAAATTGAAAATATTTTTATTATTGGGTCTCACTCGTCAAATAAAAGTCAACAATAACAACTAATTTTTCAATTCTAGTCCAATTTTAATTTCTACCGAACACGCCATATCTCTTAATATATATTTAACCGGGCTCTGTTAATTTGAAAGTATATTTTTCTATATCTTCTTTTTAATTACACATTCTTCAATAAAATAATAATAATACACGTAATCCAAATTTTTGACTTCTTTTTTGTTTTTTTTTCAATTTAAAATAAATAAATAAACTAGAAAATTAAAATTATTATTCCACCAAATTTAATAGGTAAAAGACAAATAAAGGCTTAAAACAAAGTCATCTCATTCAATAAATTCAAATAATGAATGAATCATTTGTCATATTGACCGTCGAAATATTCCACTGAGATTTTTCCTTTTAATCACTAAGAGGAATAAATAAATAAAAATAAAAATAAAAATAATATTTATTTATAATTAAGAACATTGAGGCATGCTACTGATTCAACTTCGATTATTGGAAACAATAATTTCATTTTTGCTTAAATTTATTCGCAACTACAAAGTCAAGAAAAGAGCCGGGTCTTTCTCAGACAAGAAGGATTTTTAAAAGATGAATTAAACAACGTCATTTACCATATTTTTATGCTTCACCAGATCAATTCTTCTAACTTGCAGCCGCATTCAAGTATGCAAAAACGTATGTGCATATGTAAGCAAAAACAACCTACCTCAGTAGAACTAGGTAACGAAAAAATGGATTGGTCGTGTTGGAATTATGAGGTCAACCTTTTGAAAAGACAAGATTAGTTTTACTGATCTCAACCATCCTCTTCGAGTTGAATCTAGAGCTTAACCTTCACATGCCTCGAGCACCTAGGAGCTCAAATAATGGTGCTTAGAAAAGTTGAAGTTTTTAGCCTGTAGCGATAAGCTAGAATAAGACGTGTCGTCGAACATGTGAATCCCCCGTTCTATAACATTGCTATGCATTTATGTCTAGTTTGAATTTTCTAATCTTCATATTTCATCTACTGCTGCCTAGGTGTCATGTCAACTTTTATTTGGGATACTGAGGTAGCCAAAACCCCAACACCATATTCTGGGTAACAATCATATTGGATAATACTCAATTTTCATAACGACTTGTAAAGTGAGGGTCCCCAACTGGCTACGTAAGTACGAGCCTTAGTCTAGCAATGTGGGATTCAACAAACTATTTTTCTTCAGGAAGTGGCTTCCCTAAATTGTTCTATCTGCATCATGGGACATCCCAAAAAGATGATTGCTCTAATACCAATGGTAAGAACCACGTTAAATTGAACTCACCCTTAAAACCGGCTAAGAGAAGGGTATCCAACTTTGTTATAAACACACGTACCAAAACTTAGCTTAGCAATGTGGGATGCAGTTAGAGTCAGTAATCAATCGATGAGTCAGATTTCCTCAACCTCCCGCCCTTCTTCCAACACTCGCCACACCCAGCCACTGTCCCAACCATGTACCTCACTTCTTGGTTAGAATAGTCAAGTAATAATGTAATCTTCTACAAGAAATTCTTGTACATTAAGTTCCTAATCTGCAAATATCATGCCCGTCTCACCGAATTGAGCAATCCTAGGACATCTAATTACAGGTACTGAAGATTTGTTTATCGTTAATGTTTTCATTTATTGTATATCTAGGAATTTCAATTGCAATAATTATGAGTGAGGATTGGTTTTCTACGCTACAGTAAAAATTCACCTTAAAGGCATCTTTATGAGCAAACATGCAAGTTGAGTGCTGGTACAGTTCCTAGGAAGCTCTAAATTAGTTAATTCAACACCTAATTCAGTCCAAGCAACTAGAATATAAGAAATAAAACCAATTAAGGACCTAGTTTTCCTCCATAAGAACGAGGAACAAAAAAAATTATAAATATTTTCCAAGGTGAAAGATTTTGGCGCACTTCAGAACTTGTATTATAAAAATGAAGACCAGTAAATATTCAGGAAATCCATTTCCTTTTTCATTTTTGCTCATCCTGGGGAATGTATAGGAAATAAATACAAGTAAAAGGAAGTGCAAAATGTTGAAATCTGAAATAAAACATCCTTCATTATGCATGCATGACCATGGTCCTAAATGTTCTATTTCTTTTTCAAACTAATAATACGAATTACCACCATGAAATCAAATTTAGGGCTTGGTGAGAGTTGTCCAGTAAGTACCAGTCCTTAATTAGCAAACACGGTCAGCCTCACTCGAGCAGTAACATCGGGGTGGAGCTTTAGCTCTGCAACATATTCTCCTGTTTCCCGAATCTCTGGAAGAGAGACAATTCTTTTGTCCACGTCCCTATAAAAAGTAAGGAGGAAATGGTCATGTATAAATTATATAACAGTTAAGACTCATAGATGCCAATTTTTTTTTTCTTTTTCTTTTTCACTTTCAAGACCATAGTATCTGCAATCGAACTAACAGCATAATGCAGAATTAATGGTTTCCACTAAAATCAGGTCAATTTAATGGTGGTTATAAAATCAAGAAATTGCTATGATTTGTTCAATTCAACCTAAAATGCGTCCCCAACTAATGCAAAATTAAAGGCAGCCACGCAGGAATCAACAAAATGAACAGGTTGATTAATTAATATTTGTATGTTGAAAATCAATCAATTAAGTTCACAATGTTCTCAATTATATTATGAGAACGAACCAGTTCACAATGTTCTCAATTAAGTTTCCTCTGCCAAATGAATTAACCATTAAGAAGAGGGCTATTGGTTCAAGTAACTTAGGCACTTAGCCCTCTCCTATTCAAAGCAGTATGAGACAGATTAACATAAACTTTATTCACAGCCACTAGAATGATGTCCTTGAACTGAAAATATCTCCATCTATCAATTCTATAATGCAGACAGTTGATGCATTTTCTCTGCTTCTAAGTTCATATGCACAGGATCTTGGAACTAGTCCGTAAGTGCAAAAATTGGATCCTTCTAGGGAACAAATCGAAAGGGCTATGAAACAGTGTCTTGACAAGATTTATGAAGAATTTTTGTCACTTTATCTGAGAATTCAATGAATAGTAGAGCTAGAACTAGAACAAGAACAAGCTCACTGGTTTGCAATACCAAATAATCTATTTAACAGAATCCAAAAATCGGCAATGCTTATTGCGTAAATCACTATGCATTGGAATTTCTTAAAGTTCAGATAGTCATCAAATCCTGGTAGCCATATGTATACTGCATGATGTGAAAAGGAAAATAATACCTCTGAAGCTGCGCCTTAATAATGTCAACAAGATCTTGTGCAGTGACACTGTGACCATGAGTTATATCAGTAAACATGTAAAGACATTAATTAATTGCTTAACAGAGTTCACATCTATCTCACCTTCCAAAAATTTGTTTTCCTTTCCCACCCTTGCGCTTCACCTTGAAAGCTCCAACAGTTTCAAAAATTAGAGCAAGCTGTTGTGCCTCTTCTTTTACCTGAAGAACAGATAATATATTTGAGTTTTTATCCTCAAGAAATTAGTCACCTTTTAAAAGTTTTTAGTCACTCAAGAACTAAAGAAAGGGCAATACCTCTACACTCAACCAAAATCTACATAGTCAAGTGATTATAGACATTTGGAACCAACAACCTGGTTTGTTCAATTAGTAACTATGAGAAAGAATGATAGTGGACATATTAATAGTTTCTTCAAAGAGGAAACCACATTTTCCATAACAGTAGTTTAAAATTTTAAATTTCCAAGAATCATGTTGTGAGCAATAATATCATCCGCTTTTAAGCTTTGGTGAGAGACCCCAACAAAAATGACCTTAGATTCTGAAAGTGGTGCACGAATCACAAGAGAAGTAGCAAACAATCTCCAAACTGAAATAGTGAGTGCATTTATCAGTTGTGAGCCAGCCAATGTTCTATAGCACAGTCATTGATGAAGTATTGTCAACTAACCTTATATAACGCAAACATAGCCCATGTTAAAGTAGAAGGAAGCAGTCAAGTGCTGAGGACATGATAGCAATACATGTTTTGAGGGACCTTCTCATGAAAATGAATAATGGACGCCAACAAAATGCACTGAAGTCTAGAAGCACAAAGTAACTTGTGCAAACCAGCACTCTGGTGCATAAGTTTTGAATAAACCAACACTGGTAGCCCGTAGCTAAGATAAAATATCAGGTTAATTTCTAAAAGCGACTACAGAATACTTAAGAATGTGTATATCCTATTACCCGTTTCTTCTCGGCCTCAATTCTCTCCTCTTCCATCTTCATTTCCCTGACAAAGGAAAGAAGAACAATAAGTACATTGAGTTCTGGATGCAGGCAGTTCATTTTTTAGGCGAGCCTCTATTAGTTGAAATTCAAACAGTAAATAGCTCATCACACTTGTATTTAAACGCAGTCAATAGTGCACTATAAGCGTGACATAATTGGAATACATAACAAGCCAACAAGATAGTATTACACTGAAGAAGTGCACTAACTAAAATATAAGTTTAACAAGTTAAACTCAACAGAGTATAAGAACATGGTGTAGCAGGCAACCAAACATAATAAGCATCTAGAACAATTAGTTCTGAGATAGCACACTCAGCTCATTTGCCCTTAATTCTTCAAATATAAACGTTGTTTCTGAAAAGCTTCTTAAGGTACTCTCATTGAGCTGAAAGCCACAGGCCATTTCCGGACTTAAAAAGAACCACGTGACTAGGTTAGGGGCAACAAAAGGTGGACATGGCATGGTGACAATACACTCAGAAGCTATCAAACGGAGCATATAGGATCCACTTTAAGTTGGAGTCCTTCATGGTCGTTGACCTATGGAAAAGATTCCAAAAGGAGGATGGGTGCTTATTCCCAATGTACAGTTGACCATCCTATAGACAGAAAATATGAGTTCGATCAATAACACCGCCCCAACCCCCCTTCTCACTATTCCAAAGGTGGTTCACCTTCTGTATAAAGGGAAGGGCTGTGGACTTTCTTGCGTCCCTTCCATCCACCTATAACTACAAAGGGAGGTAACAGAGTAGTAAATTAACAAAACAGCTCAATAACTGCTTAAATCTGCTCCAGTACACAATAAAGACAAATACTTCACTGATGCAGAATAAATTGATGCGTCTTTGATAAAATAGTGAAAGAAGCCAAGAGTCATCGTTTGTTTTTATGCAAATCTTTGTTCAGTTTAAATCATGTTTTGAAACAGTAAGAGAGTCAAGAAAGGCCATTGTTTTCCAGGATTACAACTAAGATGCATTTAGTGGATGCTGAGGAATTTTAAGTTTAATTTTGTAGTTAAGAACTTCCTTATAGAGTACTTGTTTATTTGCCCCCTACTAGTTCTTAGATGTGGGGCTAAGATACATCGTACTTCATCTTTTGTCTTCCAGTTCTTATTCCTTTTCTATGTGAGACTTTGACATGAGGAGGGAACTTCCGACTGTATGGGACAGCAACTCAGAAAACAAGATGTGATGCTAAACACAAGTTATCATAACAATTTCTAGAGAATGCTGGGTGAATAATCTGAATATGACGTACTCAGTCAACCTGTAGGCAGAAGGCATTAACCCCCATTGTATCTTAAAAGGTGATTCACCTCCCATAACAAAGGAAAGGGACGTGGACTCCTCGACTCCCTGCATCCACCTATGAGGAGAAATTTTTAATGGAACGAGCCTTAGACGAAGTTTATTCTACTCCAGTCTCCAGCAAGGTAACAAGTAACAAAAGAACAAAGAACTAAATAACTGGTTCCCAAACCTACATTCTTACCAATAAGACAGATAATTCTTCTTTGCAAGTATACTTCCAACTTAAACATTAGAGTAGAATCACCCACCACCCCATCTTCCAGCGGACAGTCAAACCACCGGGCAGAAACTGCCTGCTCCGCCTGATATTGTGGACTCTCTGGTAGATTTTCACCATGAACACAATGTATTGGAAATTGGTGGAATATTTGTTCTATCGGCCACATCATTTTTTTTATTTTTTTTTTATCTCACACATATCTGACACAAAATTTTTAACTCAGAAAAATGCTAGTGCTCTCATTAGCTGCTGACAAGAAACACACCAGGCTCAAACGCATACACGTCATCCAGAAAAAAATTAGACCACGAACAATAACGACACAAGCAAAGCATTAACAAAATTCAAAAGAATAAGAAAACAACGTCAAAGTCTGCTACTTCGCAAAATTGAATGGCAAAAAAAAAATTACTTTAGAAGCTCGGGTGTCACAATTTGTGCCATGCCCATTGGCAGCAGAAAATTCCTAAGAAACCCTGCTTTCACATCTATCAGCTGCCCCTTTTTCCCCAATTCTGCCACATCATCCTTCAGTATTATCTTCATAGAAACGGCGACAAGATAAGTAAGCCACAAACCCATTGTAAGAACTCAATGCAACGGAATAAACAGAACCCACTTCATTTTTGTTGTAATTTTCATACCTTTCTTACTTTCTTGGCTTTCTTTTGAGCCACGACTGTTAAGACTGAGGTTCCGTTCATCAATTTTGTCGTTTCAGAGTTCATGTTTTTCGTTAAGCAACGATTGTTAAGCCATGAAGAAGAATTCCACGATAGACTTGTTGACGCCATTTCTAATGTACCTCCACTTCCTGCTTGAGTTCTCGAATTGAATGTGCAGTTTCCTCTACTAGTTTTCTATCGAAATGCTACTCTCTCAGGATCTTTAATCTTATCTATTGTGCTACAGTAAAATAGAAGCCGAGGTCCCAATTTTTAATGTAATTTACATTTGCATTCCCAACTTTCAAAATGAACATTTCCATCCCCATGGTTCGATTTTGTTTACAGTTTGGTCCTAAACACTTTGTTTCCATCCAAGGAGGCACTAATGTTGTAGAGTAATGCTATTCATCAATATTTTCCAAAATTGGATCGGATAGATCGACTCGATCAGAAAACTTGAAAATTGGACCAAAGTCTGATTTGGTTATAGTGTAAAAACCGAATGTTAAGAAGTCGGTGCAAAATTCAGGAACCGTCCAATTCAACCAAAAATTGGTGAACCGGTCACAATTTTTACGTATTTCAAAGTTGGCATTTCATAAAAATAAAATAAAATTAGTGTAAAATGATGAAGAAGAAAACTTCATTTCTACTCCTCTTGCCTAATGGTCATCAATGCTCCAGTACCATTTTGATAAAATCCTCGTAGAAATTTTTAATCAAAACATCCAAGATTCAAATCTAAAACAATCTTAAACAACTACATATACAAGTATTTATATTTAGATCGAGAGAGAAGCCGATAAGGAAGCGGCGGAATATGAATGAATGAATATTTGCCTCTGCAATGCATGTTCTATATTAGAGTTTGGATTTTGGGTACATGGGCTATAAAATTATTTTAGCCCATTTTATTTCATCACTTGATATCAAAGTTGTTGTTGATTTTTACATTCACAAGTGTACATGTCGTAACAAGTAATAAAGTGGATATATAAGTCCGGGTATCTTTTCCACGAGAACTATCATCTAACAATTGATTCAGTTATCCCTAATTTCAATGCGATCGAAAACAAATAAAATAGTTATTTTTTTCTTTTTGTGATTCTCTATATTAATATACTAAAAATAAATAAAAGTGATTTTTTAAATATAATGGTTTAAGTGTTAGAACTCATGATTTTAACATAATTATCCCCTTAATCTCAATTACCAAAATTTATACAATTGATTATGTTTACCTAATCGAATTCTTCTAATGTATTCAACTTGTCTCTCTCGAATTCTCATTAAGTCTATTTAACTAATTCAATTACATATCTATATATGAATCAATCTTAGTTAAATGCATTATTGTTCTAAGAATTTATATAACAATCGCAATAATTAGCATAAGTATCTCTACATTTTATACCAAATTATTAATTTTTACTACGTGGTATAAACAAATAATCCGTATCTCTACATAATCATTACTCATGAAATTAATGAATTAGTGGTCAATTAATCCAAGTATTAAGAATAGAAGTGAAATAAATTCACAAAATCAATTTGAGATTTAAAACTTTTTAATTAAAATTAAGGTTCAAAATTAGGTTACAATCATTTATCCTACCTAAACAATTAATTTCATATCGTAGTAGAAGAATTAAACAAAAAGAATTAAAGTACATCATCGGGTTTGAAGGAGAAAGGAGAAAAGATGAAGATCTTGCACCAAAATTCCTCTTTCTTCGAGTAAAATCTTGGAACCCTAGTTTTTTGATTGATTTCTTGTTTTTTCCCTTGTTTTGAGCTTGTATAGTATGTGTGTAATGAATCCCGTACAAGTTGCGACTTGAATATATGTGTATAATGAAAATCCACAAGCTTCATCTTAGTTATTGGACTATGTGATGTATTTACAGAAAAAGATTTAGGTAAAATCNGTCGTGGGTCGTGGTTGGTTCCTATATTCTTTTTGGACTAAAGACTTTAAAATTGTTTATTTAATTTATTTTTATTTTCGGAAATTGATTAAGTGAAAATGTGTGTCTTTTCTAATCTATTCGAAACTGTTCGGTCTAAAACGGACACAAACCAATAGTTGTGTCTATTCGGGAATAACTTTCAAAAAACTGCAACTCTTGGCCTACAGCTTTTGAAAATTCATAAATAGGACCCCTAGTTTCCGAATTTCATTCATTCAAAAATCATAATTCTCTTGTCTTACATTTTGCATAACTAAAATATTTTTTCCGTTCATTGATAGAGTACGAAACGTTTTCTGGTTCGCTGTTCTTGCTGTTATAATGCTTCTACACCGCAAGTGAAAGATTGTTGTATCTTGGGAGGCGATTGACGTTAACTGTAAGCACCGTAGCAGGCTAAAATCGTCTTAAGGAAATAGAGTCGAACTCTAGCCTCAATCTACTGTTTTCTGCTTTAGCGTTTATTCGGTTTGTCATTTCCTTCTCTTCATTTTAATTTTGTTATATAAGTCGCATGCTATTAAATATTTCTAACAAAATTAAGGTTCAAAACTAAGTTAAAATCATTCGTCCTAACTAAATACTTAATTACACATTATGAGAGAATAAAAATACAAGAAGAAATTAAAATACATCATTCTTTTCACTTCAAATTGATTTCCACTAAAGAGTTTGAATTAGTTTCCACCAAAAAGTTCAAGAAATAAAAGGAAACAAATTCTTTTCACAATTGAACTCCATTTTTCTTGTGACTTTATTCCTTCATCTTGTAATATTTTTTGCAATTAAGTCATCGTCATTCCAAAGTAATAATAGTCGACCCGAGACAAGTTTTAGAGTTTGCAATTAGTCCCAAACTTTTCAAATGTCGAATTAACTCCCGAAACTTACCGAATGCTCTATTAATAATCTCAACCGATCTCTTGCAATCCAGTTAATGTTCAATTGCTTCAAATCAGCTCCAATTAATCTCCATATAACCTATTTTCGTATAAATTGTAGCTAAGTTGGGATTTCCCTACAATTAACACAATTTACACAAATTAAGTAAATAATCGCTCAATTTATATATAATAAATAAGAACAGAAGCCAATATAAGTGCACAAATGTACTGATCAAAAGTTCATAAGTAATCAATGGTAAATAATGGATTTTAAAATGCTATTTTAATTAATAAAATTTTTAATAAAGTATATAAATCTATTTATTCTTTTAATTCCGGGTCAATCCCGATTCGACCGTTTGATTCTTGACCCTTTAACTTTTTTGAGTTGATGATCGGACCAATTTTCAAAACATTGGTATTTATTATCATCAAGCTATTAGCATCCATGATCCATCAACTAATGTTTTCGAGGTAATGCTATATAAGAATTAGCCTATCAAATTCACTAAGAAAGATAAACGTCCAAGTGTCTAATCCGGAAGGTTGAAATTTCAAAGTCTTTAGGTAGCCGTTGGATTGGTATGGGCGTAGATAATTGCAGAGATAGGAGATATACTTTTACGTCGAAACATCATCGTTATTCAGCCCCGTTTGATTTAGTTAAAAATTATATTCTTAATATATTTTGATAAAAATTGACGAATTATGGAGTTTAAAAGTTAATAAAAATTGTGAATTTCTTGAAATGTTTGTTTAAACTTAATTATTAATTTTGATTTAAATTTTCATCAACTTTTTAATTAAACCAAAACGAGGGACCTAATTCAATTTATTTTTTAAATTACTATTTGTTGAATCTTTGAATACACAGCCAACCATTTAATATCGTAGGAGGGAATTAAGAAAAATCGTTCACACCATAATGCTACAAATACAATGAAATGGACAGCCAACCATTTAAACACCACGAGACATTTAATTATTGAATCATCGTATAAGAATTCTCAGGATTTGTTGAAAGTTTACTCAGTCTATGTAACCATTTAAACACCACGAGACATTAAATTATTGGATCATCGTATAAGAATTCTGAGGATTTGTTGAAAGTTTACTCAGTCTATGTATAGACTTTTAGTTGCCTGTTTGAATCCATTTTCTTATAATATATTTTGTGAAAAATGAATTTATTATTATTTTTTTAAAGAATCCATGGTTAAAAAATAAGATTTTTTTTTTTAAATTTGAATTTACGTACAAAATTATTTAATTGAGAGAATACTATTTTACTCCATTGATTTTACAATATCAATCTATGCCTTGTTTGGGCTCCATTATTTCAATTTATAGTGAGAGAAATAATATTTTTTCAGAGAACGTACAGTTAAAAATGAAGTAAAAGTTTTTAGGTTTATGCATAATATTATTTTATTAAAAAATGTGTGGTTGATAAGAAAAGAGAAAAATGAATTTTAATTTAATGAAGTTCAAACAGAGATTATGTGAAATTGTGCGATATATTCAATTAAAGGTGAAAGTGTTCTAATTGTGTTAGATGACATTATTCTATATTTTAAGATATTTTCATCTCTCTCCACAATACACATCCCCACCTATTAAATATGGAAAAGTAAGGTTGTGCTTTTCTTCGTTCTTAAGACATAATGTCAGAGTAATGTTATTTATACTGATAATCGCTTTACGTGACATGTATGTTGCAGTTTATTATTTAATGCATTAATTGGTAATTTTTTATTGTCTCATGTATCAAATAACAAATTGCCACATGTATGCCACAAAAAATACTACTAGTAATTTTCACTATAAATAGCATTACTCGTAGTGTTATTTAGGTCACTAATAAAATTTCAATACAAGTTTAGTGAACTTTAAAGATACAAGTTGTGATGGTCGACAAAGTTTGTCCAAATATTTGTCCAACCTTATAACTAGGGTTCATTATTGTGCCTATCTCAAAATTATGGCAGCTTTTACTGAGTAAATTAAATCGGAGGTCGATTATTTCTTTTTTCTCTAGAAAATGTCAACTATTATTTATGACGTATTAATTGATTAACTAGGTCGGGTACAGGATAGTTTTATCCTAGGTTTTAATTTGCAAAAAAAAAATTGGAATATGCTCATGGGAATTTTTTTTGTTAGTGGCAAAATTGGATTACATAGTCAATAGGAGTGTCACAATAATAGTTAGTTATTCCACGAGGTGTCTCTCAATTATTGCCTCTGAAGTTTAATTAGCAATGAATGCCTCTTAAAACCATACATATTTATTTATTATTGAAGTCGAGGAATAAAATATATTCTCAATAAATACAACGTCTATTTTTTTGAATATAAAAGACTCAACACCAATCCTTCGTCACAAAAATTATATGAAGAAGCAAGTGTTACTCAATATCCAAGAACGGAATCGGCAGCTAGGTAGTTTTCCTAGTATATTTTGAATGTACAATGGTGTGTGTATAAGGGCATGCATGCAAGTAAATATATTTTGTTGTATCATTCGAACTAAAAGCAAAATTTAATAAATATAACATTTCCCCTATATAATTATATTCAAATACTACAATCTATTCCTTTTACAATGCAAATTCTTTCATGTTTAGTTTAAGGAATGGATTTTTGTTTGTTCCTACCAAAACTGCCAGCAGTTCCAACTTTGTCTTTGCTAGATTTTCCATAGATTCAAGCAAGAAAAGTTGAGGTTGGTTTCCTAAATGAGTGTTCATTTTATGTTAAGATGACCAGCTTGAATTTTGAAAAGTCCAACCCCAATTCATGCGTGAAGGTTGATGCAATTAAATATGGCAAGAAAGTGATCAGTCTGACGCTAAATATGTAGAATATTTACAAGTAAATGGTTGTATATTTATTTATTCCCATCCCTTATACTCAAATACTCTTTCTCTTGTCCAAAAGTGATCTCGGTCGCATTTGAGGAAGATCTTAACTGGTGATGAGTTGAACTCAAGGTTGACTTGCCCACCTCGGGAAATTCACCCTATTCAATTTGTGTATATATTGCTGGCTTTCTGCGGAAAATATTTGGAACACAGAAGAATCCAAAGGGGGAGATATTTGGAGGAGAATTGGATTGAAGCAGGCGTTTTTGCATGATGATAACGGGGGCCACTTCGTCGTGTTACCCTAATGGGACACAAGGGTTACCAATATATGGGGTTCCTCATCCTCAAGAAGTGGTTTCTTCCTCTCTTGAACTAAACCCATCTGTTTCTTCTACCAATCATGCCAGTTCTTTCCTTTACAATCTGTCTGTTCTTAAGGACAGGATTCATCAGGTGCATTCACTGGGTAGCCTATTTTTAACGTCAGATCATGGCCAGCCACCCGAGTCAACGACCATAGCGTTGCCAACTATCGGCACTTTAATTCAAGAAATCATTGTTACTGCCTCATCTATGATGTATTCATGCCAGCAGATGGCCGTTGGTGGTGCACCACCACCCGCAAGCCCGATAACTGATGAGCTGCACCACCACCACCAGCAGACGGTGATGATAGATGGCAGTGGTGGTGGAGGTGGTCGTGCCGGGCATCAGGTGGAATATAGAGGGCATCAAGATTTCTATTCCAATGATACAGTACTTGATTGGTATGGTGCTAACTACAATAGTTGCAATTCAACTGATACTCCTAGGAAATCTATTGCTGTAACTAGTAATAGTACTGAAGTTTGTAGAAAGGAAATTCCTCAGAAAACAGAAACTAATGAAGAATTAGTGGGGCTTTCGCCGAATAATTGTGATATCGTTGAACTAGATGCTGCAGATTTACTGGCAAAATACACACATTATTGCCAAGTGTGTGGCAAGGGGTTTAAGAGGGATGCAAATTTGAGAATGCACATGAGGGCTCATGGAGATGAGTACAAGTCCAGTGCTGCATTAATCAATCCCATGAAAAGGAAAGGGAATTCAATTGGAACGGATGGATTAAACAAATTGCCAAGAAAATATTCGTGTCCACACCAAGGTTGTAGGTGGAACAAGAGTCACAAGAAATTTCAGCCCTTGAAATCCATGATTTGTGTCAAGAATCACTACAAAAGAAGCCATTGCCCCAAAATGTACGTCTGTAAACGATGCAACAGTAAGCAGTTTTCTGTACTCTCTGATTTGCGGACTCACGAGAAGCATTGTGGAGATCAGAAATGGCAGTGTTCTTGTGGAACCACTTTTTCCAGAAAGGATAAGCTTATGGGTCATGTATCCTTGTTCGTAGGGCACACACCAGCGATCAATTCGTTGTCCAGGTTGGGAAATGGAGCTCAGAACGCAATGCAAAATCGATTAAATGATAGGTAAAATTGCTAAATTACTCTAGAACTACTCATCTTTTGCTGTAAAAAGTCTTTGCTTTCTGTATTTATTTGTTGTTGGTGTGCTATATTCTATACTCTATAAACTTAACTTTTTGACTTGAGTATTCCTCTTGGTATAGATTTATGATATCTACAGTTGATTATTAATGCATAGAGGTCTTCAATTAAGGATCCACTAAACAAATAAAATTGACAAGAAATATCAATATAATTAGAAATCAGCTTGAAGTTCATATCTAAGAAATATATTTTGCTATTGCCATAAGGTAGTTTTGTAGTAATTATATTATTTTCTGGACGATGTAATTCGAAAACTATTGGATGGCTAAATATCGTGGACAAAGAGTTTATTTTAAGTGGTTTTTGTGCGTTAGATTTCTTTGTTTAAGGAACAATGCTTTCTAACAATATTGATACCACGATACCAATTTAGATGGTACTATATGATAGAACCAACTTAATGTAGAAATATGTTACTCATTTAGTAGTGCGTTTTATCTAATATTATCCGGTACCACCTAAACTGATATTTTAACAGTAATGGTGTTCCATAACATTATTCTTTTTTGAAAAAGAAAAAAGTGATCACTTTTGCATTTAAATGTCAATCGTACCATCTTTTGTTGACAAAAAAACATACATGACATTTGTTGGGCGCGAAACTTTTGAGATAAATCTTGAAATTTTAAGAAAATGTCATATTTGCAAGACAATTTGGCCGATACGTTAGATAGTTCTAACTAAATGTACACTTGAAATTGTCTAACGTATTAACCAACCGTCTCACGAAGAATGAAGTTTCTCCTGAAATTTTTCAAGATTTGTCTCAAAAGTTGTGCACTTACCAAATAATAATTAGGTTTTATGAAAATTATAACATTAGGAATATTTTCGGTAGTTTAATTTAAAGGTGGCCATTAGCTAAGGGTAACATGCACACCATACTATATCTTAATTGTAATGAAGGTCCACAATATTTGCTCATTTTCACACTTATTCTCAACCTTTAATTAATTAGCACATATTATCCTTATCCGTATGAAAAATCCTTTAGGAAAGCATAAAAAAAACATTTATTATTCTTAAATAAGAGAGAGAGAGAGAGATAGAGAGGAAAAAAAAACAAATACTAAAGTTTTACAAAATATTTGCTCCTTATTTCAAAGGATGCTAACAATTTTTTTTAATGCAAAAATCATAATCATAGACAACATGTGTTAATCTAATTGAAGATTAAAGATAAGAATAGGATAAAAAAAAAAGATTAATAAGTGCTGAAATGAGCAGAAATTGGGATCTTTCATTGCAATAGTAAAAACTTTGATAATATAATTATTCTTTTGCTAATTTCCACCAAAAATAACTATTTAGAGTAGGTTTAGGTTTGAAGGTATTTCGATTATTTTCCAATACATCGAAGAATCTTCGATCTCATTTCAAGAATTTATTTATTTTCCCTCAAAAAGAAGATGCAAATTTGATTGTTATGCATATAAAATCATCAAAATATAACTTCGTGGCATTATAGATGTTCCTGATTTCTTATTTGCATGTTTAGGAAGTAATTAAATTAAAATTTAAGTAATTATAAATGGTGTATTCTACAAAATATGTGAGTAATATGAAACATACGAATAAAAAATATATTTGATCAAAAGTGATTATGGTTTAATTAGGGTCCGTTTGATTGTAAGAATGAAATTTGGGTGGAAAGAAAATGAATTCTAGTGAATTGAATTGCCTATAATTGTTTTCTGAGAATTGTCAATTAATTGTGTTTGATTAATATAATTTTTCATGTGAAAAATATTGAAATTTTGAATCTTTTGATATTCGTTTGACTTTATTTTACATGAAAATTGTTCATTAAAGAGATAGAATTTGTTTTCATTGCTAAAAAAAATGGTGGAAAACCATTTTTCCGTCAAAGTGGTGGGAAAACCAATTCAATGAAAACCAAGAAAAGAGGGTCACGTTGAGGGTTGGGGGGAAAACCAATTCCAAGGAAAATTTTGCCTATCAAACAATGTAAAAGATGGAAAATGGAAAATGATTTCCAACTTCTATGAAAAATTGAGGATATCAAATAGGGCCTTAGTTCTTAAACACGCACTAGCATTTTCCTTTTCAAATTCTCACTTCAATACATGAGATTTTCCTACTCTGGGCTGCCTTGAGGTACGTACTTATGTCTGAATTGTATATGCAATAACTCATGTTTGGTAGAAATTATAATTTAGATTTTTATCAAAGTCAAAATTAATAATTAATTTTAACCACATATTTTATAGGTCTCGCAACTTTTCAACCACATATTTCTTCAACTTTTATTAAAATATGTTAACATCCGACCTTGCAACTTAATTAAGTTGGGTTATTACATGCACTTGGATCATGATCCATTAGGGTTGGACCTGTAAGGTCAGCTTGGAAGTACAATTGCCGTGGTTTGAGAGGACATAATGATTGTAGAATCTTTACACATTGGCATAACCTTCAATTAATTAATGAAATCCAGAAAAAAATTATGTTAGCGCCCACCAAACCCACCAATCGTATGTTGTAGCTTTATTCTCTAATTAATTCATTAATTAAGGGAGGCCACATTTAAGATCGATCTCATAATTGGCTGATGAAGCCCGTCTCAGTAACCAATGAAGATATGCCATTAGCGTACTTTTTCAGTTCGGTACTATATGTTGCTTTGACAAACAACCAATCAGGGTTAAAAGTCATTGGCATAGAGGTTCAGCTCGGTACTATTTATTGACAGACAAGAATGTGAAACATACTGGATCTTCTTTTCTTATAAAAAGGAGTATGACATCTTTAGAAAGGGAGAATGACACCTTCATATTCCAAAAATCTCCTTTGATGAAAACTCTTGTAATTTATATGTGATCATCAACAAAAATCCTTATTTACTTGACCTGAATTGATCCATACACTTTCTAACGTCAACAAAATCTATTAAAAATTTTATTTTAATTTCCAACAAACAGAGATATGATAGCATAAACACCTTATGATGAGATGTAATGAAAGCGTATTGAACAAATTCTGATTGCTTAATATTGAATTTTTGTATATTACTTTTAAATTAATACATATTCATTATTCATACATAAAAAATTATGAATTCACGTGAAAAATTATTTTATTAAAAGAATTAAAATATATATATTCCAAAACACAAGCTAAACCCGTTCTTTGCCTGGCGCGGCAAATGAACAAGTTTAAAATATAATGCCTACAAATTGAAGAGCGCGCCCAAAATATCCAGTTATTTCGATAATCAAATCTAGTCCATCCATTATCACTTCCATCAACGGATCACAATAAAAATCTTGACCAACCCCCTATATGATATCTCGTCCGTGTATTGAAAAGTAATCAACGGTCTAAATATGCAATGAGAGTCACTCCATACCCACTAATCAGATTTTTCATTTTCCACTGTTTGAAGGCACCAATCTGCTCATTCCCTTCATCAACGCTACACTTGATACTTTCTTTGAAGAAACCAAAGAAACAAAACCCCAAAATCTTTTCCAAAAATGGCACCAAAGGGAGAGAAGAAGCCTGCAGAGAAAAAGCCGGTGGAGGAGAAGAAATCCGCGGTGGCGGAAAAGGCCCCGGTAGCTGAGAAAAAACCCAAGGCAGGGAAGAAGTTACCCAAGGATAGCAGTGCAGTTGCCGGAGATAAGAAGAAGAAGAAATCCAAGAAGAGCGTTGAGACTTACAAGCTCTACATTTTTAAGGTGCTGAAACAGGTTCATCCTGACATTGGGGTTTCCAGCAAAGCCATGGGAATTATGAACAGTTTTATTAATGACATTTTCGAGAAGCTAGCTCAGGAGGCGTCCCGTTTGGCTCGGTACAACAAAAAGCCCACAATTACTTCGAGGGAAATTCAGACTGCTGTGAGATTGGTACTACCTGGGGAGTTGGCTAAGCACGCAGTGTCTGAGGGGACAAAGGCTGTGACCAAATTTACTAGTTCTTAGGTTGGGGAAGTTTGTGTTCCAAGGATGGTTGTAAATGGCTTGTTTGGTATGATTTTGCGGGTTGTTTTTGATGTATGTACCGAAAGATGTTCTTTTGGCCTATGGTTAATTGCTGAATGAAAAAACCTAGTAATCTTTTGGCATTCTCTTCTATTAAATTTCTTCTATGATTAATTGGGATTTATTTTCAATTGAATTAAAGGATTCTTGGAATTAATGGGAAATCTTTAATTCTAGCATTTGGTGTGTATATGACTTGTGATTCCATTATCTCTGCAAAGAAGCCGAATGAATGAATGAAACTTCATATTAGTACTTCGATATTGTAATTTAACTGAGATCACCATGAAAGTTCTTGATCTGACCAACTACAAGCAGAGTGAACATGGTGCTAGAATTTTTTTGGTGCTTTGTGAGTAATGAGTATTGAAATCTTTATAGTACAAACCCGATTCTTCACAAGCGTTCAAATTCTATGAACAGGCGTGTAACAAGCAATCTTCTCCATAGGCTTTAAGCATCTGATACACCATGAGCGCTGATCGTCACTCATTTCTCTACAAGGTGAATGTTAACCTTCAAATTCCTATCTTGACGACTATTACCCATCTGAAATCAATCAATATCAGCATGCACATAATCAACAAACACAAAGTTCTTTTGGAGTTCATAAGCAAGGTAAGCTAGGCTTGCACTTAAAACTGCAACAACCCCCAAAATAACCCGTATTTGCACGTCTGGAGGAATCCCTGCTGTTGCAGAGCAAATAACAGCTGCTCCAATCAAGAACTTCTGCAATGTTTGGAATGTTGTGAAAGCTTGTTTACATGATGAACATTTCAGCGTGTGCTGCTCATACCTATCCAACATCTGCGAAAAAGACATTTTACAAAGTAAAGAAGGCAATAAGAAACAAATGCAAATAATTTAATCTATGCAATACAGAAATTTAGAAACAAGTGAAGCATAAAATTGCACGCAGTTCACTTACTACTTTGTTTGTAAGAGTTCATAAACCATTTAAATTATAAATATGATAGAAATGAAATCTGTGAATAAAAAGTAATTTGATAAATTGTATACAGTTTATAAACATTATTCTCCTTCAGTAGCATGGTGCCTAATTGCTATGTATACTTCTTTTCCAAATTTTGCTGAATGGTTTAGTATTATTACATGATTTTGTTGAATGGCTCATACTCGTGCTTTCATTGTTCAATACAGATCCCCCGTACAAATGTGGGTATTCAAATTCTTTGAATCATCTCCACATTTGCCACAGGTGCTCATTAGATAGATTAATTTCAGTACCTGGTGTTTGGACAATATAGTAGATGGCAACTGTTGGTCAGCAGTACCAAACCATTCAGGTTGGCTGTTACCATGTCGCCTCAGCCAATTCCTGAATGCCAGGACAAAACGATCAGATTGTGTTGGCGTAAAGGTGATCTTTGTATACTGTTTGTTGACGTCACCAGAACCATCCTTCGACTTTGATAGAAAGATCTTTTCTTGTCCTTGAAGCACAATCATATCTCCATCATAAACCTTGTTTGAAGTCCAATGCTCATGCCAGCGGGGAACCACCTATTGTCACCTAGTAGTAAGTTGGCTGCTAAGAGGCAAGTTTACCATGCTTTTACAAAAGAATAATGCTATTTATCACTATTGGGGTTGAGCCTATAATTTAATGTCATGTAATTGCCACATAAACTGTGGCTCAATCCCAGTGGAGATGAATAGCATTACTCTTTACAAAATTATCAAAGAATATGGAAGCAGTAAACATGGAAAGTTCAAGTAGAAATCCTAAGAAAATTGTATTTCTGCTTTATAAGGAAGGATCAATATATATTAAATTTGAAAATCGAAATATTGGATCACTCCTAGTTATTGACTTATTGTCTAAATCATATGAAATAACAATATTTAGGCATGCTTTTGTTAGTAATGTCAAAATCAAAACAGCTTTGTGACTTGCTCAAAATTTATATACAATATCCCCAATTTAGCCAGATTAGACGACCTTGATTACTTTCTCCGTACCTCACTTTGTCAAGAATTTCTTTTCACAGATGGGTTGTACCCAAGTTGTCAAGATTTACAGTCAATCCGCTTAATTGATGCAAATCCACACAGCCAATTAGGCTTGGTCTAGGGGCAATAAGCATCAACAAAGAGGCCCTAAGAATAAGAGAGCGGGCCAATGCTGGGGCCTTTGATCAAGATGTTCAAAGTTCAAGTCCCATTACTTTGTAGCTTTCATGCACTCTCAAAAAAATATATATATATGTTACCTGATATTCACAATGCATTAGTTTCAGAACGGTCTACATTAGGATACCGTTAACTAACATTGTGAATTCTACAATCTTAAAGTTTAAAGATATTAAAACAGTAAAAAGTTATTAATGTAATATTGCTTAAAAAAGTAGTCTGTTTGACTAATATATGTTAGAATATTTCAAAAATTGAAGGAGCAAGATTCATCTCCAAACTTTGTTTGAGATAGCAAGTTTTTCTTAGCTGAGAATATGGACCGTTATGAGTTTTATGACGTTGATTTTAGGAGGGGTGGAATGTAATGACTAACTGTAACCACATCACTAATCTATGGTTTTATTTCTGGGTTTATAATAGTTAGGCACCCTCCCTTTACAAGCTAGTTTTAAGGGTGAATTCTAGCCAATGTGTTTAGTTATAGTGGTGGTCGAGAACTCACTCAAAATGGCTAAAGAAGCATGGGCAAAGGCCGAGCAGGAGACGATGGAGATAGAGAAGAGAATGCACTGTATTATGGGACCTTCCGATAAATGGAAGCGGGAGTTACCAAATAGACAGATGCATTGTAGGTGCACCAATCTAAATACTCTGGGGGTACAGACTTAGTGCAAGAGGAACCTGGCTAGAGGATGGTGGGAAGCACGTTGGTGGTGGCCCCTTGTGGTAGATTAGTTTTCTCATCCCTGATTCAAAGACCCATATGATACTGTTCAAGCATAAATATTTTTCACTTTTCTTTTTTGACGAATGGACAGTTTAATCCCTTTCTATCCACAGTTATTAGTCAGTATGCTTTGAGCCTTGAAGAAGATTTCCTGCCTCAGACGAGCAAGGGCTTCTGTGCTTTGGACAGACACTTGTTTTAGCCTCTATGGAAGAGCGTTTATGTGACTCAAATGGACAAGGACTTTTGTCTCTATAGAAAAGTCAATGTTTTCATAGATAACAGTCTATGGATAAGCTGACTGAGTAAAAGGTGGAAAGTGGAAAAGCTAGAAAAGGGATTCTTTTTGAGTCCGGGAACAGTTAACTCCTTGGAAAAGCTAGAAAAGGGATTCTTTTTGAGTCTGAGGAGCAGCTAACTCCTAAGAGGAGGTTCCATCATTCTTTAATAGTAATGAGGGCTACGTCACCCATATTTTACATACATATTCATCTTCAAGCAAACAGTCATCAAACCAAAATACAAGTTATCATTGTTTAATAGCTCCACCCACCCCCAACTACCCACGCCACACCTTTCCACAAAGCACAGGATTTTGTTTCTCTTCTCTCCCTCATCGTCCTTCTCCTCATTACTCCAATTGACCTTTTATGCACCTACTTAAAAAAATTTGCATTGTTCTATCATAAGAGAAAGAAACCATTGCTTGGTGATAAAAAGATGAGTGTGGGCAAATTTAGGACAGTAATGGGCATTGTTTGCATTTTCGCGAATTTTTCATCTCAAGAAAAAAGCCTTACCTGCCACCATGCAGGACCTGGCATTGTGAACTGGAAGAAATTTCGAGCGCTACAGACAATTGAGCGTGTCTTTCCAGGTGCCATTGGAACATTAAAGGAACATATCCATATTATCCATTTTTGATCACCCACGAGTGGAAGCTTTGTGTCAATCTCAATTCTGGAATATGAAATTGAAAACACGATTAGAGAACAGGATTCATGTAAGTGTCTGAAAGATGAATATGTAATTAATATGACTATTTTATATTGATTTTTTTACCGACCCACAACATTAGGCACACACCACAAGAAAAAAACACCCCATAAGAAATTGAAAGTCAAAATGTGCTTTAATTTCTGATGTAGATAATCTTTTTTAAATTAGAAGGCAACAAATACCTTTAATAAAGTTCATCAAATAAAAAAATCGAAGCACTGACATGGAAAAATTTTACTAGAAAAGAATCAATGAACATAACTCCTTCCCCTCTCCTATGAAATATATTTATTGATTGCTGAGTTGACAGATGATGCTGTGATTAGAAATAAATGACAACGTCGAAATCATATTGACCTAAAGATTTTGCAAGTGAGTTGCAATTGTAGTTGCTGTTGACTTGAAACATGAACCTTGCATTGTAAAATCTCCCTAAGCTTTATGAATACACCTAAACTGAGACTATAGCATGACCAAAAAATTTTGGTAATGTGGAATTGTCCTGCAAACTGTTCCAAGTTACAGACAATAAAGACAGTCTTCTTCATTCTAAAAACAAATAGTCAAATAGACAATGCGTACAAACCCAAATACCATGCATGACCAATGAACTTACTTATTCAAATAGTAGCAAGGTGCAACAAACTTGGCACTGATTTTTGGATTGCCGTCATTCGCACCAGCAAAACCCCATGGTCCAGTCCCCTCCATCTTGAATGGCAAGGGTTTTGCCCTCTCTCTCCTCCCAGTTACCTGAAAAGTGCTCCCATGTGTAAGTAAACGGTAAAGCACCTGTTTCGTGGCCATTTTTTTTTGGAAAAACATTGTTTTGAATAGGGAATTTTTAAAGAATGTGTGGTTAAAAAGTAAAGTTGAGAAAAATTTGGGATTTATGCGTAAAATATTTTATTGTATAAATGTGTGCTTGAAAATGAGTAGATAGAAAAAAAAGTTTTAAAAGAATGAGACAAACAGAGGCAAAATTTGTCATTGTACATGACAGATAAGCCAAGGACAAAAATACACTACAAAAATCCTTTTAAAAAGTCAGCCCATAAACAAAACAGCCTACAATTCGCAACACCAGATGAAGTTACCAGATAATTGGTCAATTCAGTGTTTCTTAGCAAACTAACCTATTTTCCAATCATATCCATCAGAAAAAACCTTTCAACAAAGGCAGGCTCAGAAGTCTCATAGAAACTGACTTCCCTCTTTTGGTCCACAAATATCTTATTAACCTTCTAGTTAAAGTCTATATGTCAAGCTAAAACAAGTTTTTTTTTTCCTTTTTTGAAATCCCAGAAGCTAAGCAATGTCTATTGGAAAACCATTCAACTCGCGAAATGATGTTTAGCATAAACTATAATCCATGACAACATGCTTATTCAGGGTTGCCATGTTTACAACTCTCTCCAACTTCACAATATTGTGTCTTTGTATATTGACACAGCTAAAAAGAGTTGCTTAGATTGCACCAAATGGAACGAGAGCCTCTAAGCAAAATGAAGAGTTGCAAAAAAATATCAAGTCCACTCATAAAAATCTTTGTAGTTTACCTTGTGATGTGCAAAGTCAATGTGGGAAGGATCGGACACATTCTCCATGAGAGTATCATAGCCATAGTACAAATCGCGCTGAATTGTCACAGATGAAAACTCGGGCTTCTCAAAATCATCAGGCAACCTACACAATTTCCCACAAATAGAAAGATCAATTAATTATTAGAAATTCCAAAAACTACTATATTATTATTTAGCTACAACTGCCAAATTCCAACACCAACTACTCCATCATTAATTCAATAAAAGAATCCACTAATCATGCTCATCCCAGATTAAATAATGGAGTTAACAAAGGAAATCAAAGAACGAAAAAGAACTCGGCGTGCACATGGACAAATTAGTTAAGAAAGGATCATTTACATTGGGGGCTTGGTGGCTTGAGCTCTTTCCCAACCATTCTCATCAGGCCAAACAAAGAGAAGACCTTGGGAAACCATAGTTGGAAATCTGGTGGCACATGCCCTTGGAGACTTAACAGCACGAGCCTCAGGCCCTTCTGATGCTGCCTGTGGGATTCGAGTACAAGACCCACACCCATCAAACGACCACCCGTGGTATGAACACTGCAAGTGTCCATTCTCATCTATTCTCCCCTCCTATAACATTATATAAAAACATCAAAATTAAAATTATTTTCATATTTTGTCAAGAAATGGAAATTCGAGAAATAGATTCCAAAAAATTTTAAGGATTTAAATAAAAACCGAGAATCGAGGATCAAAAGCCAAAGATCTCGAATATTGGGTTATAAAATCGAAACTTGAGGCGTGGGTTCCAGCTTCCAAGGTTGTTTTTGAAGATCTAATAAAAAAACATAAATTTAAGAAATGGGCTCTCGTAATCTTCAAGATGTTCATTAAAAAGCAGAGAATTGAGATTATGGCCAAGAGATTTACTGATAAAGGTGCAAGGCGATGGGGGCATTTATCATCAAAAGCTACCCATTGTGAAGCAGTACTATCAAACCACAGAACCAGGTCCCGATTCAGTAGCTGAAAGGGAGTAGGATAACGTGGGTCAAGGTCTTCCACAAGCGAAACAGGGTACCAATGATCTCTCCAAGAAAATTTTGATGACGAATTTTCTTCCGAACCCTCTATTTCAACCTCAAAATTATCTTCTAATCTCGATACAGATTCCTGTTCTTCTTCAGAAGTGGTGGCAGTAGGAGTGGTTTGTGGAGTAGCAACACGTAGTGGAGTGTTGAGAAAATTTCTTTTCTTTAGCGAAGGAAAATTACGATTGAAGTGAGGGCCAATGAAGTTGCTGCGTGAACTGTTTCTGATGGCAGTGGAATTGGAAGTGAATATAGGCGTACCTGATGCTACTGAAACAGCCATATTTTTGGTTAATTTAAGAAATATATTATCCTGCTGCTATTTCAATATTATATACACAGCACACACTATGAATTTCTAGATGTATTAACGAGAATAGAAAAAGGGATTTTTATTATGGGTTTGAAAAGAAAAGTGTATAATTGGGGAAGAAGGCTTTGCGTGCAAGACTGGAATTGCGCATTCTGGAACGATCTTTGTTCATGTTGGACTTCTGGAGGTGGAGGGCCACAACCACTGCATAAACTGAAGCGTGTAGTTTCTGATTTTTTTTTCTCGTTTGTCTCGTCTCGTGTGGTACCTTAATTTTCATTTTTCACACAATTACTCTTTTTTTTTTTTTAATTATATTATATTCTAATTTCTTAAGCTCATAATTGATTTTGAATTCTATTTTATTTTAACTCGTTAAATTAGTAAACAACATAGAACCTTATATCCAATCGATGGAAGAAATAGAAGAGGAGCACCAACACCTAATCAAGAGATACATATACCTCGAGTAGAGCATATAGCCAAGTTATATAGTACGGGTCGAAGTTGAACACCAACTTTGATTTGGTCATGTGGGCATGGGTTCGCTGTGGGCAGTGATTTGGGATGAGTGGGTGTGTGATAACGGCTCAGGGAGCATGCTGGGAACTTTTTTGTGGAAGTGGCTGAACTCGACTCCTTGGGAATGCTTGCACTTGGCTCTCAAGACTTCTCTTCCAACTAGTTTTGAGAATGTAAGGATATGTTCTTTTTACCATTTTCAAGTCATTTTCTGTTTTCGATTTTTCAAAACAGTGAAAACGCGTTCTCTTTTCTATTTTCGAAAACGCGTTTTTGTAAACAACTTAAAAATTTACAAAGAAAAGCCAAAACGACAAATTTGGTGTTTTCAGTCATAATCAAGTCAAAATTTTCAAAATACGTTTTGAGTGTTTTCAAAACAATTTTACAAAATGTTAAAAAGAACACATTTCTAATAATCTCAAAATGGATACTCAAAACCTAAAATGAATTTAAAACTAAAACACAAAATTGAAATACAAAGAGAACAATCTCTAATTCTCTCCAAGTAGTTCAGAACTTGCAAAATGTTGGTGCACTTGCTCCTAATGCGGATGGCCTCCTTGACACTTCGAGTTTATTAGTTGAAGCGGGTATTGACTTTTATAGTCACGTTTCTTATGGTGGAAATAAAACTATCCATGAACTCCTTTTTTTCGCCTTTTATATTGTTGATATTATTCGATGGCTTCATTATATGCCGTACTTTTTACATGAGCTATTTAAGTGACTTTACATAATGAATTAAAACATTCGAAAAAAAAAAACACCTTAACAAATACAATCTTTAACTTCTATCAGAACTACAAAATATTTTTATGATATTGTACGTGAAAAACTCAAAAGAAGAAATTCAACATTTTTAATGAACATCAAAAACAAAATGTAAATGGCTTAGGAAGTTAAATTAATAATTTATAGAATTTTTAAGGTATAAAGTATAAGCATCCACTCATTAGTCTGATTAGTAACCTGTCGATCCTACCATTGAATCGGTTATAGTCAATTCAAATCGAGTTTGATAACTACGTTATAAACTTCTAGCAGTAGTCACAGTAGCATACATGGAATGATTTTTAGTGAAAATTTTTTAACTCAATTTTCTCAATGAGGGTGGGAATCGATGCTTATGCAAGAGAATTCTGTCAACCAATCCTTCCATACAAAAAATGAATGCTCAACCAAGCGTTACCATGAATTAAGAACTAGATTGACTGTGTACATTCTCTAAAGACATCCACTATGAGGGGAATCTCAACATTTCTTTATTTCAAAGTTCACACAATTGCACTTAGAAAGTCAGCATATAAATTGCAAAATACACACATTCTGCTCTGAGATGAAAAATTTACTTTTTTGTATAAGTTTGATGGTCAGGCCCAACATCACGTGAACCGGTATTAATGTAAGGTCCTCGGAAAGTTGCTTGAGGTGGCAGTGGCTTTGATGAATCTATCACAGGTGTTCTTGATGACCTGGATCTGGATACGATAGAGCATTGTATGAAATTAGAAAAACAATCATGCAAAGCAAACGGTATACAAAAGCACAGAATCAGTGAAAAAAAAATCAATTACGCTATGTAAAAGGGAAACGCCAAGCCTGCGGATGCAAAAGCCAATAAGCCAGTGGCAACAATAGCATTGCGGGACATCAAGATTGCTTTGATAGCCCAACAAATAATCTGAAAACAAAGAATAAATGAACTGTTACAGGAGAAGACATCATAATTTTTATAACCACAGCTTTCAAAATATTATGCATTCTGAATCAGTATCAAGCACTGGAAGTCTCCATACAGATGTGACAAAAAAGGTGGACAAAGATGTTCTTTTAGTTGACACCCCACCATTGTGGAGTGTAGCACAAATGTCCTGCTCAGATCATCACAGAGGTAAATCAAGTACATCACTATGTTCAAAATGCACAATTCCTTATGCACTTAAGAAAATTAAATAATCAGTGTTATTTTGTGTCATAATTAGCTCCAATAGGCAAATAATAATGCCTACTTTTGCATTCAGCATTTCATTGTGCGCTTCCTTCTAACCAGACAAAGGAGGAAAATGGGTTGTGTTCTTTTCAGAGAAGCAGGGCGAAAAAAGCCACTGCACAACCTTCAGTTGAAAGTATTTGACCAATAGTCTAAGGCCTCAAAGGAAAGATGAGAGAGTTGATGTCTAAAGCAACAAGTACCTCTGACTGACTTCTATCTCACAGTTACATTATCAGATACATGGTACAAGAAAATGAAGAATGGAAAAAGAAGAGGTTTACTACAAGTCTGTGTATAGCAACTACACCCGACTTGATGCCACATCAACTGACCAGCTGATGTGGAGATCTCTGTCTAAACCAGCAAAGCAACACAAACTATCGTGGGATAATACAGTGGTTGGACAACAGATTTTGTGTGACCAGCCAAACTCGAGGGAAAGAATAAAGTTGTGTGAGGCTTGACCGACTGCAAAGTGACCCTCGAATCCAGCTGCATTGGCCTGCCAAAGGCACAACTGCAAGAACACTACTGCAAATGGAGTCCATCTCACACATCAATAATCATTATCTGCCATAGTGATCGAGTATGACTCCAACCAGATAACATTGACAAAAGGATAACAATCAACCTATAAAAAGGATAAGAATCACATCAAACCATTTGTGCTAAGACGTGAGTTGTAACCTCCAGTTCTATGTTACTATTTTCCATTAGTATTCTTATTGACATAATCATCAGAGAGTCTTCACAGGATGGAGATCAGCTCTCTCCATTCGCAGGTACACTTTATGCTACTTATGGAGACATATAGCTCAACAATCGATGAGATTTGGCCCTGGCATACTTGTTGGCCAGATTTTGGCATCAAGAGCCTACAAGAGATCATCTCTAATCAAAATGTTCCAGCTGCCATTCAAACATGCTGATGACAAAATAAAGCTAAATATAATGAGAGAAAGAACTCTATTCAAAATGTGGACACCCTGTGATTGTGCTAGATTAATGGTATATCCGGATAAACAATACTCAAGATGGGATTCTAATCCAGACATAGGCAGTAGCTCAAGGGTCCAAGGCCTCAAACCCTAAACATGATACAAATAATATCAACCTCGACTTGGTGCCTAGCCTATGTATTTGGGGAGAGTTTTCGAAGCACTATTTAAAATCCATTTGACAAAAAAAGAAGATGACTTCAGCGAATTTACATGTTAATCTCACAGTTTTTATTACTTTGCAGAACCTTTTACTTCAGAAAAATACAAGATGGAAGGTAAAAGAGAACACCAGAATATACACATAAAAGAACCTTGCTTAAGTGTGAAACCAAAATACCTGAACCTACGGCACGGAAGCTAGACAAAATATTAACTCAACTAGCTAGTCTTATTCATCGAAATACGATCAGATGGTCAACAATTTACAAATTCTTTGACTGACATAAAGCTTCAGAATTTTGCAAAACTCTATTTTATAAAGCATAAAAATAGATCTAATAATGATACATCTTGCTTCAGATATAATTTTTTGCATTTTTAATGAAGCCCAATCACCTAAATGCCTATGACCCCAGGGGCAAGGTGAAGGCATAAAATATGACCATGGTGCACTGTTTTATAAAGGTAAAAAATTATTCAAATCGCATCAACATTGATTTAAGTTCTAAACAGAAATAGAAATGATATGCCAATGACCAAAAATTTAATTTAGTCCCTGTTTGAGCCCCTTTTTTGAGAAAAAAGTGTTTTGGAAGAGTAATTTTTTTTGAGAATGTGTAGTTGAAAAATAAGAAAAAGTTTTGGGTTTACGTGTAAAATTATTTTATGAGAAAATGTGTGGTTGAAAATGAGTTTTAGAAAAATGTGTTTTTGAAAAAATGGAACCCAAACATAGGCTTAGAAGGTTTCAGTCTTCCAGACAAAGAAAATAGAACATATTACAAGTGGGAAATCACATCCTATAGGCTCCTCCAAGTAACATGCTAGTAAGGAAAAGAACACTAACAATACATGACGGAGGGACAAGACCAATAAACTAACCATCTTAAAAACCACTCGTAGCATTCAAAATTGAAAACAGTGTAGAAAGAAAACAGCAGATTGTGTTGGTTTACCTGCATTTGATTTTGTTTTACAAAACAGAAGTGTCAAGAAAAAAAAATGAACAAGAAGCAAAATCTCCAAACGATACATATATTAAGTCCTTGTTTGGGATAGCTTAAATTTGTTAAAAAGTTAGATGTCAAGCTTAACAATTAATTTTAATTACACATTTCATGAGACCCGCAATTTTTATCAACTTTTCAACCACACAATTCATTAACTTTTATCAAATCTGCTAAAATTTTTATTAAAAGCTTTGTCAAACACACAACATAGTCATTACATAGTAAATTAATTACATTCTCGAACATCTAACATCATGGAACTGGTTATGTTTAATCCAATTCCATGTAATGTAACATGGTTATTGTTCAATGGCCAGGGCTTAAATCTGTACAGAAGCTTCTCCTGAACTAAAATATTCGTGGCTATTTATATAAGTTCAAATTTCTTGCAGCCCGCTCCCCAACCCAAGTAAAAGTTTTAAGGTTTGCTAGTATTTTATCAAGGAATAATTAACATTAAAGAACTTCACATTACACATTGACAAAAAAAAACACACACACACACAACCACATAGTTTTCAATATGGAGTAAAGTTATTACTCCTTGTCATGCTACGGGATTTCCCTAAGCACTTTACAGGAATCAGCTGAAGAAAAACTTATTTACAAGATATTTCACATTATCTGATAAATTTTAACATAGACGTGCAACACGTTGCTTGCAGTAGAGGATAACAGGCTACAGAATTTGCAGTTTGTAAATTACCTGTTCTGGGTAACTTTAAGGCTATTCAAGGTTAGATTGGAATCATAAATGAGCCTTGAAAATTGCCCAAAACTTGGCATATTGCTCTTCAAGCCGAACTTGAGCACCTTAGCAGCCTGAGTACTCGCGACTCATTTCAACTTCCAACCTCAAACTATCTTTTGGCGAGCCAGTCTCAACCAAATTGAAATTCTCTTCCAAAAGTTCTACTCCAAGTTTATACTTCACTCACACGTCATCAGATCACCTTGAAAGCTCATGAAAGTACATTGCCGAACTTCTATTTGATGGTACATCTTCTCATTTTTATTCCAATAAAAAGTGGATATCCTAATAATTTCATCTATCCAAAGACTAATAATGTAAGCTCCAGTAGAAACAGCTAATTGTTTATGTAAGCATATGAATGTCTAATGGCTACCAAACAGGGCTAAAGTTTTCTCCAACAAAGCAATGTAGTTTCCTATTATTGTCTTGCATGGTAAACAATTGCCAAACGAAAAAGAGGAAACCTCTACAGGCTAAAGTTTTCTCCAACAAAGCATTGTTGTTTCCTATTTTTGTATTGCATGGTAAACAATTGCCAAACGAAAAAGAGGAAACCTCTACTCATTTGCGTGCACTTACAATTTACCAAAGGATTTCAACTAATTAGAGCACTAAAATTTCTTAGCTGGTCTAAGAACCTACAAATAAGAATTACACATTTCTTCTGAAGATACCTAAATACATATTCAAGAAAATACTCAAAACGAAAAGGGAAAAGTCCCATTTTCTCGACAAATTACAGAAAATTATCGAGGAAATAAAATAAAGAGTTGAACTACCTGAGGGCGGATTATCAACAGAAAATGAGTACTCAATTGACGTTGATTCGTCTGCAAAACGAAAAATTGCTATAGTAACCGTGTGTATATTATTACGATTGCTCTGTGGATTGCACGGTGATCCGACCCGTCAGATATAGTAAATTTCGCCTGGATCCACCAAACAAAATATTACAGACGAGTCACCAAACTTTTCAAACTACTGCATTTAGATCCTCCTTTAATGTTTTTTGATACATGAGCCCTCAAAATTTCAATTGATGCACAAGATTCTGTCTAGAAGGGTGGGTTTGGATCGCCGTTGCTCTACCCGTCTCACCACCAACTAGGAGTGTCATTTTGACTTGGCGACTCCAACGACTCGTGGCTCGACCCAGGATAATAGAGCCGAGGCTCGGGCTGAACCCCATTTTTGAGCATTAGCCAGAGCCAACCCATGTGGGGAGCCCTATAATAAAAAAATAAAAAAGGGGGAAAAATTAAAAGCTTATAGGCAACTACACGCAACCTTCGCACTTCTGCGGCAGTTTGTAGCTTCCTATCCATGGCAGCTTCCCGTGTTTATAAATAAAAATAAAAAGCCACGAGCTAGCTCGGCTCTATTAGGCCCGAGTAAAAAGCTAGAGTCGAGCCTAAATTTTTTTGGTCGAACAAAAATTCGGCTCAACTCGAACAAAAAACAGTTCGAATCATTTTTACTCGAGTCGAGAACGAGGGTTCAGCTCGTTGACATCCCTACCGCCAACGCTGTGCATATAAATTTAGTAATTTTTTGCATCAACTTTTCTATCATCGTAGCGATGTAATCGTTGTATCATTCAAATTTTATCGCTCGTTCAACTTCAAGCTTATTCAAATTCAATGAACCAATACGCTCTTCTCCACTATAATATTACTTTGTGTACCATTTTTACCACGCAAATTTTTAAATATACGTACTGAAAATACACACATTGTTCATGTTTGTTGATTATTTTGAGGCCGTTGTCCGAAATTCGGACAAAGAATGAAGAAATTACATTTATCGATTTGACTATCGTTGTGTCTTATATATACCAAAAATGCTCTTATTTAATAAAATTGATTAGGAGTCCAGACAAACAAGAAAGAAAAAAGTACAATATGTTTGTGAGTTGACTGTTACACCCATATATTACGTGGCATCGACTATTTAATTAAAGTGGACATATTTAGCCCTTATTTGGCCCCCATTATTGTAGATTTTTAGGGGGTTGAAAATTTTTAGAATAGTGATTGATGGGAGATGTGTGGTTGAAAAGTTTTAGATTTGTGTGTATTATTATTTTATTTGATGAATGTATGGTTGAGATGAAGAGAGAGAAAAATTTAATGTAATGTAATGAGATAT